CCCTCACATATACTAATGTGCCACAAACAGGACTTTAATATCACCAACCATTCCCGTGTTATTATGGTGTATCCATATAAATGGCCCACCCTTTACTTAAACATGGAGTCTGCCTCACAGTGTTTTACACTTCACACGTGTCCTGGATATGTCATGCTTAAGCACATCTGTTGAACACTTTTGGATATAGTTATAATCACTGATACATTTACACAATTATATGATAACGACTTTGTAGATGGGCAGCCTGTTTATGGCAATTGAATGTTGTACAGTCTCCTCACACATTGCTAACATTTCTGTTGGCTAGGAATGTCACCTAAGTTGTCAATAAAATAAAATTATATTTTTACTCTACCTCTGCAGTGACTTTTTTTTTTTTTAGCTTAGTATCCTACGCCGTCATAAAGTAATGTCGTGTGGTACAGTATTTGTCTTGCTATAAAGATGCATGGCCAAAAGGTTGATTAAAATGACTTTCATTCGACTATATAAAGTAGTTGGTTCATTGATTCATTGTTGGAGCTCTAGTTGCATTCTTCTTTGCATTCTTGATCTTTTTTATTTACTTTGGTAGCCTCTATCACTCACTTTGTATTCTACACTGTGAGCTTTTGATCACTGCCTATAATATGTTGAGTTATTCTGTATATGCTTTTTGTTCTGTCTGCTTATTTTTTATGCTTTACTCACAGTCTGTCTTCTCTCTGTGTGTCTCTCTGCTACTGCTGTAGGCACGTATCAGGGTCAGTGGAGTGGTGGCATGCGTCACGGCTATGGAGTACGTCAAAGTGTTCCTTATGGCATGGCTTCTGTCATCCGCTCACCTCTACGAACTTCGCTGTCTTCACTCCGCAGTGAGCAGAGTAATGGTACAGTACTGCGTGACAGCCTATCCGATAGCCCTGCTGGCACACGTGGTGGTTTTGTGCTCAACTTCCAATCAGATGGAGAGGGTTCAGAGAAGAGAAAAGGTCTTTTTCGCCGTGGCTCCTTTTTTGGTAGCCTTCAGCGACTACGCAAATCTGATTCACGCTCATCAATTTCTAGTAAGCGCAGTTCAGCACACAGTGACACTACTATGAGCCGCATCAGTTCAAGTGACGCCAACTCTACCATTAGCTTTGGAGATGGAGACCCTGGCGATGACTACCTGCCTCTTGAGGACAGTGTGGATGCTACCACCACCGAGTCGTATGTGGGCGAGTGGAAAAATGACAAACGCAGTGGCTTTGGTATCTCTGAGCGGTCTAATGGCATGAAATATGAAGGCGAGTGGTTGAATAATAAACGCCATGGCTATGGTTGCACCATCTTTCCTAATGGGACGAAGGAAGAAGGGAAGTACAAGAACAATACGCTGACCCGGGGTATCAGGAAGCAGCTGTTCCCACTAAAGAATACCAAGACCAAACAAAAAGTGGATCGTGCCATTGAGGGAGCAGTGAGAGCAGCAGCCATCGCCAGAACCAAAGTTGAGATTGCCATCTCCAGGTAAAATATCCTGAGAACCATAAGGAAGTTACAACTACTTTTACCCCCTTTTTCTTTACTATATTGGAAGTATATTGGGTAGTATATACTGTAAAAAAATTTTATCCATATTTTATCTATACTATTGTCAGGGCATATACTGCTCATTATTAAATACTATTAGTAATACTCTTAATACTACTCTGCATATTTTGGCTTGACACAAAGACATTTTATTGCTCATTTTGACACACTGGCTTACAAATGTAATTGAAACTTCATAGTAAGCATATGGTACTTAGTATTTAAGTGGAATGAAAAACTATTTGCTGCTTGTTAGTTTGGGATTTTCTTTCATATTTGTCACACGTGTTTCAGATGATCAAATATATTTTAAAACTGGACAAAGATAACCCAAGTAAATACAAAATACAGTATGTAAATGCTCATTTAGTTTATTAAAAGAAAAAAAAGCTATCCAACCCTACCTGCCCTATGTGAAAAAGTAACCGTTAAATCCCCAAAACCTTTGGAAAAATATTCTGTCTAAACTTTTTTTAAAGGGTTGAGTCTGGTTACATCTGGTGTAAAACTAACACACCATTTCAAGCCTGTTTTTCAACAGTTTTAACTGCACATCCCCCATCTCAAATATCATCAGCACCCCTAAATGCCCTCCTCCCACTGCCTCACTGATCTGACCTCCTGTGACACCTGCATATTCACCTGTACTCCTAACCAACCCCTGAAGTCCCCACTGGTCAAGCCAACACCAGCATCACTTCCACCTCAATCTCCTCTGCTGGCATGCATCTCAGCCCCAGAAACCCATTTTAGATGCCATACCTAGAATCTACTGGAGCCACTCACTCAATTTTGGGCACAGTGACCCGAGTATTCTGATTACTACAGGGACAACAGTAGCCTTCAGCTTCCACATATTTTCTATCTCCTCTCTTAGCCCTTGTTATTTCTCAGGTATCTTGTTCCTATTTCCTGATGTTGCTATTGCTACATCTTATCACTACAGCCTTCCTCCTCTGCTTGGACCCAACTACTATGTCTGGCTGGTTAGCCTTGGCACTTCCAGGCCATACTCAGCAACGGTGTTCCTGCATACTATGCCATCCACTTCATTATAGCGTTCCATGTATGATCTGCCAACTAGTATTTATGATCTTTGCTGTTCTTGCTCCTTTTCTCTCTTGGGTTTCTGCTGCCTGAGGTATCACCAAGCACATGATCGTTCGTGGCCATCTTTCTGATGTACTGATGGATTATTGTTGTTGTTCTTACATCCTGGATAGTAATTCTAAACTCACTATTCGTTGGCCTGGATTTGGTATGAAACCTTCGATACGTGGTAAAGGCTTTTCTTTTTTTAATGTCAGTGGTTTCTATCTCCTCCCTTGGCTAGCTTATTATTCCAGCAGGGTATCTGGCAGGGCTTAGGTGTTGATTACCTTGTTCTTCCTATTCAGCAGACTCCTCAGGATTTGCCTTGCTCTTTGGTGAAGGCAGCTTCTCTAGTGGCCTCTTCATTGTTCAATTCACCTCTTGTATTCCCATGTAATTCTAGCTATCCTCAATATCTGCAACATTGCATTCGGATAGTGCAGTCTGCTCAGTTCTGACTACTTTCCATCTTCTTGTTGTTCAGGCTTACGTAGAACAGCAGCGGGGACAGGGTAGGGCTGGGTGATATGGCCTAAAATCCGTATCACGGTATAATTTGAAGCAAGTGCGGTAACGATATACATTGCGATATATTCTTTTCTTCCGTATAACGTATTTTACACACTATAAGGCACACTTAAAATCCTTTAATTTTATCAAAAATCGTCAGTGCGCCTTATGTGTGAATTCTGGTTGTGCTTACTGACCTCTAACCGATTTTATGTGGTACATGGCGCGAAATCTGTCAAAAATGTTTCAGTACGACTTTGGTAAGCTATGAAGTCGCACCGCTTGATGGATTGCCGGAGCATTACGGCTGCCGTATTCAGGAGCCTCGCGGAGTGATCTGGGTCCTAAACTCCGTCTGCTTCAGGTCCCAAAGTCAAACGATCACTGAGAGTTACAAACTGTCTAAATTCTTTCCAGTGTTGCCAACTTAGCGACTTTGTCGCTATATTTAGCGAGTTTTCAGACCCCCTTAGTGACTTTTTTTTCTAAAAAGCGACTAGCAACAAATCTGGCAACGGCAAATGAAGGCCGCATGAGCGAAGCCGCTGCTCCAGCACTGACTGTAACGCAGTCAGTTCTTCTTTTACTGTTATGCTGTTTTGTGGATCACAAGGTTTAAAACTACTTATAAACATACACACACACACACAAAGTAACTCCACCAGAGTGCCAATTTCGGGTCATTTTGCAGGTGTTCTGGGAATCCATCCTACCTCAAAAAACATCCTACCCAATGTTTCTGCGCAGACGCGGCGCATGTGCACAACACCAAAGCCGAATTAACTTCTTTTTCCTCTCACCCATCTGAAATACTTCTTAAGGTTATGGTTATGGCGCGCTTTTAAGCACTTTGGGTGCCTTGAAAAGCGCTATATAAATCCAATCCATTATGGTTAGGGTTAGGGGTAGGGTTAGGTTTAGTCACCATCAAATTATAATATGGGTAGGACGATTTGTCAGAGTAGGATGGTTTCTCAGAACACTGGACCAAGCCCGGATAAAGGAGCAGGGTTGGAATTGTGACATTAAAAAACAATAATTGCTAAAAGAAATTTAATTTATAGTTCTAAATAAATTCTAACTGCATTTAGGACGTTTTTTTACTCACTTTTTGTCTCTTCCACGGTGTTATTTCTCTGTAGGTTACAGAGAGGTTACAATTACATTGGCAGAGGCTTCCATGTGGTGTTAGGCAGTTTATTGGACGTTAGTTAGATGGGACCAGTCCCTTCTGAATGGGACCAGTCCCTTCTGAGGGTCCTTGGTAATCAAGACTGTCCAGCCTTCAGTTAGCTGTTCCAGTTGCATCCATTAGCAGCTGGTTCATTTGTTCTGCCAGGTGCTCACTGAATACAATTAGGTTCTTTAGCCAGTAGGTGTGAATGATGTGCGGGCCTGGTGCTGCCGAACTCATGCTTGAGACTCTTTCTTGGATGTGATGGTCACATCACATGACATGCAATTTAGAGTGGTTGCTATGGGGTGCTCTTAGATCCACTAAACTCTGAGCATTGTTGTTGTTTTGCATCCTTCTCCCATATGCTATTCCAGTGTTGCTCCATCTCCAGCCTTGGTGGGACTGCTCTCATATTGTTTTCCTGCCTTATATTAATGCATCTTTGATGGTTTAGTTGGCGGTTAGCCAAGACTGTGTATCTTTGTTTGGTGGTTTCAAAGGCCTCAGATATTAGCAGCTTGTTGTACTTCTTCTACACTCCATTCTTCCTCATACCTTTCTGCAGTTTAAATATTTTGCTAACTTCCTGCAGTTTTCCCTTGATCTCAGCCTCTTTCTGCATGGCGGGTATTGCTACTTGTGGATGGTCAACTTATAGCCAAGCATCTCAACGATCACTGTTGCTGTGGTATAGATCAGCTGGTTGGTTTTAGTAACGATCACAGCAGGGATTTTATGTAATGTTGGATTCAAATGTTGCATCACTTTGACCTTCAGATACTAACCCCAAGTTGCTCTCCGATACATCCATCAGAGTATGCATGTGTGTGAATGCTTAGATAGAATGCACTTAAAGTGTAGAAGAAAGTGCTTGTGTGCATGGCTGTGAATGGGTGAATGTGATCTATATAAGTGCGCTATATAAGAATCAGTCCATTCACCATTTTAAGTCTGGATGTGCTGAATAGTGTTCATTAAAATTGATGCATATTTCTAATCAAATGCGATACCCATGTAACCCTCTACATAATTTTAATGTTTCTTTTTCTATACTGTTCCATTTTAATCACCCTTTGGTTTTTACCTCTTTAGCCAGTTTGGCAGAAATACTTTGTTAGATTGACAGAGAAACCACATTCCTCAGTACAGCACCAAGAAAGCTCTTAGGGGTTTATACCCCATCTCTAAGACACCTGGGAAGCTCTTGGGGGGGTAAACAAACATATGTGTTAGTTTCCTCATAATTTTATCATTAAGGAGATAAAAGAAGTGAAATTTATTCGAAGTGTTGAACAAAAAATCTGATATATTTTCACTGAACCTTTTAATATGAAATCAAAAGAAATGAGTGAAGAGGGCAGGAAAAATAAATAAAATGTACCAATTGGAGAGATAACAAAAACAGTCTGGTCCATTCCTTTAGAAAAATATCAAATCAAATCAAATAAATTCAGCAACACTAAAAGCCCTGAAAGACCCCTCAAGGCAACGAAAGTAGATATTTACAAAATCCTTTCCTTGATTAAGAGAAAAACTCGTCAGTTACTAGCCAAGTCAAAAACACACAAAGACGAAGGCTTATCGTTGTCAAAGTCTTCAATTAAGAGAAATGTCCAGCGTCACATTTCTTCACAGCTGCCTTGCATATCAATGCTTTTTAGAAGCCCCAGACGGCAGCCCCATGGAAACTATTGAAACATTTCCAAATAAACCAGACAGCACACTATGCTGTGAGTATGTTAGTTACTAATGAGTATATGGATTCTTGCAGGACGTCCCATGCCCGGGTCAAAGCAGAGTGTGCAGATCAGGCTTCACAATCAGCCTGCCAGGATTCTGATATTGCCCGAGCTGTGGCCAGGGAGCTCTCCCCATCTTTCCATCAGCCAGGTACTGTAACACCTGCACATGTTGTAGAGCTGCTGCTTGTAAACATGCGATGTTGAACTTCTGTTGTTAGGTTTAATTTGTGACCTTCTGTATGATTGAAATGCCTAAAAGGTTATGAAAGGTTTTAGAACAACTGTTTGAAGGTTGGGTTTGAAACCCTTTGAGGTTGTCTTGGTCCTCCCCTATGTTCTTCAAATTTTGCTACCAAGGAGCCAGATCATATTGCAATGTTTTTTTAAAATGGTCTTTAGCAATAGTTCTCCATGCCTTCTGAAGGTTCTTCCAAAGGTTTGGATATCGGCTGCTTTTTCCACAAATTTTCTGTCCGATCTTTGTACCTGATCATTTTCAGTGGAATGTTTTTTGTGAACACTAACCTGTGAACTTCAGACAAAAAAAGGCGTGAAACAGTGTTGTATCTGCACACATTTTAAATTGTATCTTCAGGCACAAAAAAACTATTTTGATTGCATGATAAATGCCAAATATAACACAGTTTGACAGGCATAAGAGCATTTTTACATCGAAAAGTGATTCCCAAAGAGCTTTTAGTTGAAACCTTGGCATATGTTGGCATGGTGTGTTCTTTAAAAAATTAAGAACCGGGGTGGCAGGAAGTAGAGCAGATCATCTACTGACTGAAAGGTTGGCGGTTCAGTCCCTGGCTCCCCCTAGTCTGCATGCCAAATATCCTTGGGCAAGATATTAACCCCAAGTTGCTCTCTGGTACATAGTAGTTAGTAGGTCGTTAGTAAGCACTTCAAAGTATAGAAGTTAGTGCTTGGGTGAATGTGGCATGTTGTGTAGAGCGCTTTGAGTACTCTGGGAGAGTAGAAACTGCTATATAAGACTCAGTCCATTTACCATTTTTAAATAAGACTTAAGACAGTTTGGGCTGGATCTGGTGACCCTGAACACAGCCTTAGTTATGCTACAATAGGTTAGGCTGCTGGGGGTTTGCATGATGCACTTCTTCTTCTTCACTCACCTCTTTTTTTATACAGTGTGTTTATACTACAACAATTCAATCATTGGTTTTAATTAATCGTTAGTTATTGTTAATCTCTTTCCGTCTTCCTCCACTCACCCAACCCCCCGTGCCAGATTACCACCCCTCCCTGACCTTAGTGCTGCAGGAGGTTTCTTCCTGTTAAAAGGGGGGTTTTTTTTCTTCCTACTGTCGCCAAGTGCTTACTTATAAGGGTTCATCTGATTGTTGATCTTTTCTCTGTGTTATTGTAGGGCACCTTACAAAATGAAGAGACTTAAATTGAAGTGTACAGAGTGCTTTCGGTTCAGCACCCACGTCACTCAGCTCTCTAGCTGACTGCACTAAAAAAGGAAAAACGCTCATTGGAGAAACTATCATCACCTGCTGGTTAATATTTTAATTACACAGGTGGGTTGCACCTGAGACATTTGTTGGTTTTGAAGTCTCTTCATGTTCAGTGCATTGTCAAGAATTGCCAAGACTTTGATAGAGGGACAGGCATCAGTCTTTTGGGCAACAGGTGACATGGACTGCTGTGGTACAGGAGAGTAGTGGATAGGCCAGGCACTACCTGTGGGTGACCCCACAGGAACTAATCCAGTGTGGTGACTGTGGGTGCTGTTGTTGACCAGGACACCAAGTGGTGGTGATAGTACCAATTATCTCCATGAACACTTGATGTTTTGCTTGTTGCTGGCCTTGCATAGACTGGAATCTCCTTTTCTCTGCCTCTGCTGCGCTTTCAAAATCTATCAAATGCTTCATTTTCCTGTTTTAGACATTTCAGCTCAGCTTCATATAGTTCCTCCAGCTTCCTTCTCTGTTATGTATGACTGTGACAGATTCAAAGTTGTATTAGCTTTGGCCAGTGTTGGGGAGTAACGGAATACATGTACCGCCGTTACGTATTTAAAATACAAAATATGAGTAACTGTATTCCGTTACA